TGTACTTTTAGGGTAAAAGGCACTTGCAAAGACTGGCGTACGTCCGATTTTCGCTCAACATTTTCGAAAAATAACAAATGGTATTTTTTCAGCGTTTTCCTAAAAGTGCAACAATGAAGATAGTGATATTTTTTTAATGAAATTTATTTTCCAGAATTAGTCCTTTAATCAACATCATGTATGTAGTTATGAGAATTTTAGTAGTTTTCGCATAATTTTGAGTGAAGTACGGGCAATATTTAAAAAAAATTAAAAACAACAGTTTTTCAGACACGGCTTCAAATTTGTAGTTCAAACTTTTTGAAAGGATGTTTTAAAGGCACTGTAACGTAGTTTTAATTTCACTGTGTCAGATAACATAAACATTATTTCGATGTATTCTTTAGTTCTCGTTTTCTTAAAAAATTACCCAAATGTAACATTGTTGATAGCTCTCCCATGTTTTGTCACTAAACTCCAAATTTTGTCTCAAAACTTCTGATTCAGAGAGTTCTAGAAGCATTGAATTAAATAGAAAAATTACTACAAATTACTATTACTATAAGGTAGTATAAATTAAATGGGTGGAAACCAGAACAGTATAAGCAACTTTTCATACATTTTGAGAAAACTTTTATTTAATTCAATATTTCTGAAAAGTCGTAGTGCTTTGTTTCATCATTAAAACTACGTCATTTCCATTGTTCAATAAAACCATGCAATCACATTGCAACTGAAATATAGCCTAAAATAGAAACGTTTTACTCAGAATTTATAGAATGTCACTCATACCTTTCTGGTTTTAACTCTTTCAATTCATCAAGTTTGTTGATGCACAGAATATTCAGAGAGTATTAAAGTATTCGTAGCCTTATTTACCTTAACAACCAATTTGAATGTATTCGTTCTAAAATTATAAGTTTTCTTTTCACAGTTCATATGTGTTACGAATCCTCAGTAAAACGCAAATTGAGACTCAGAATATCACTGAGGAAAAGTGTGTTTCCGTGATGACTATCTATATTAAAATCTGTATACTACCATATTTTCAACTGAACAAGAAATTGGTTAAAATCCGGAAACCTTCATAAGAGATTTATCAACGATTTTCTTGTAATTCATTTTAATAGATATATTACTAATAACGAATATAAACCTAAATTGAAATTTATTGTATTCATGGCGAAGATTAAATTTAAGTCATAACATCTCAACACATTGTTTTTAAATACAAAATTTGAATCTCTTGCCATTATTGAAAGAATTAAATATAAAGTTGGTTTGTGCAGAAATCCACAAAATGGTGTATTTTCAACCCACGTTTTACAGGAAAGTACTTTTACGAAATTATTCAAAACACTTCGCCTTAGATATAGTACATTTTGAAGATCCTAGTGGATATGCATGCCAACACTGTCATACAATACCTCAAGTTAAAGACAAAATTAGTAGACGCTGCACGAAGCCAAACTAACCACTATACATCAATATCGATTTCACCTATTAAGATACTTCAGAAAAGTTTCTTTGAGTCATGTAGGATACGGCAAAATTTCAACAAATGTGAGATGATTAAGCGCTGAACCGTAAACTACCTGATATGAAATAAATCGATAATACATCATTGCAATATTCGTTGACTGTCTTTGTTAAAAATATTTTGTTGCAGTGTTGTACAAGAGTATCTTCTTTGTTGTTCTTGAGCATTCAGTGCGATACGTTTTGGAAAATCATTTTGTGTGGTTTTGTTCAACAGCATTTTTGCTGCTGTCGACCACTAGTTGCAAAGGATATCAGTTATACAAAAATTAAAAAGAAATATTTGATGTTTGGAAAATCGAACTGTTTGATCGTACATTTCTTGCCAACACAGTTCTTAGATAAAACGTTTGAAAAAAACTGACACTTTCTTTTGCTGTCTGTCGTCTCTTCTCTCCCCTGCTCTCGCTCTCTCTCTCTCTCCCTCTCTCTCTCCTCTCTCACACACAAACACACACACACATCAGGGATAGTCCAGCCAATCGTTTTGCGGAGGGGCCATGCAGTAGATTTTTTGAAATATAATAAACAGGTAATTTTATATTGATATTATTTTTTGGTAGTGAACTATTTGATACTATGTACAAATTTAATTAAAACATGATTATGTAACTTCGAGTACATAAATATATTATCTATATAAATATTTTGAGTCAATTCTGACAAAATAAAGCGAAGGATCAAAACAAAAGTCTATACCCTTTTTTGTGGGGTGGGACATGACCCGTCTTCCCCCTCCCCCCTGTAACCGCGACTGACCCACAATACAATTTCAAAACGTGAATTTCGCCTGACTTCCTTGAAAATTCCAGGTCGATTATTTCCGATGATTGGGTCGAACTTATCGCAAGCAGGTGTACAGTTTCTCTGAAGGGGAGACGCCTCGGACGTGATCACGACTAATAAATTCTTAGTGAACAATTCATCCGCGATTCAGATTACGACACGAACCTTAGTGCCACTACACAGTCGGTGATCGAGAAGAGGCCGCCCAATAGTCAACTAAACGAGAGGTCCATGTAGCCCCCCCTCCCCCATACAGTCGCCGGCTGTGGCCGCCGTACACACGAAAGCGTTGTCGGATGTTCGTAGACCCGCCCCCTGTCTTTTCGTGTCCTCGGTCGTGGCGTAGTTCGTAAGAGGAGTGAGTTGTGAGGGGCGGGGGGAAGAGTGGAGTGGGTTGGGGTGGGAGTGGGAACTGCTCCGCCATCCACCGCCGCACCAACGCTCACCACCACCACCACCACCACGCCGCCACCGCTCGGTATCTTTATGGTGCGCTAAAACGGGAAGCTAAAATCAATATCTCGGTCTTCTCTTTCCTCTCTCTCGCTCTCGTGGCGCCGCCAGCCTGTGTGGCTCGTCTGCCACCGACGCCCCCCCAACCGTCGCTGGCGCTACCCTTTCCTATCCTGCCCTCCGCCGACCCGCCTTTGCCGTGGCCGTCTCCCCGTTGCTCTCGCTGCCAATACCGCTGCTTCCGCAGTTGATTCTTCGCTGCGGTGACTGCCGACACTGTCCTCGTCGCCGCCAGTCACATCACCCGTCTCTTCCTTTTCTCTGTCATTGACGTAGTGCGAATCCCTTTGGGATCATTCTGCGTTCTCACTACCGCCAACACTACTGGCATTACTGTCCCCTCTCCCATCACCTCTGATGGTGTCATTGCTGATTTCTTAAACTTTGTGATCGCCCCATCTGAAAACATTCCTAACATCGACTCAAACTCCGAGGTAAAGAATAGTGCTTTTGCGAGGTCACTTTCGTTGCTGACATTAGGGTCACTTCTCGTAATGTTCTTTTTTCCCACTGACATTAAACTCTGCCAAAACCATTACTGCCAATAACACTGTGGTAGCTGTCATCATTACTTGCAAGTTCGAATTGTTCCCCTACGTCATCACGGTCACCATCCCCACTAGCTACAAGAATTCCCGTTGCTGCTGTATGTGTGGAGTGCCCTCAAGGTCAGGCTCGGTAGCTGCCTCTAAGAGCATGGAAGGGTAAAAATGAATATCGTCAAATTGAACTGAAAGGCAGGTAGGGTGCAAGGCGAGGCGACCCTTTCTTCCTGAGCAGAAAAAGGGAGAAGCAGAGCTGTAGCCGGCTGAAAGAGACGAGAACACACGCAGCTTTCGAAAGTAAGGGAAGGGAATAATGGAAATAAAAACGAACTGGCGATAAAACAAAAGGGCGAGAACGGCATCGATGGAAACGGAGAAAAACGATATGCCCAGTTGGAAATGTAGGAAGGTAGTCTGAACCTGAAATTTAAGACGTCTGTGAAAATACCTCTGAACGGGCAAAGGATATTGATCCACGAATATAGTATAAAACGGGTAAAAGGGATGAACGAATAAAATTCACGTCTTTTGAGAATCTCGCGGGCAATTTCTCCATCTCTTTCCAGTAAAGTAAAATGTTTAACACCGTCCCACCTGCAATATATTGTGCCGTGTCGTGTCTTCCTTAAGAATACTTGAAACAAACCAATTAAAATTAAACCTGGCGACCCAACAGCCCAAATATCAAGGGACGGGGCAGCGAGATACAACAAAAGAGCAGACATGAAGCTTGCCCTGTTGAAAAGTCGGCGCATAAAAAACCGTAGGCCGTAGAAGGGGTGGTGTGGTGGAGGGAGGAGGGTCGGCGGCTGGCCTAGTTCGGGTTCGCGTCACCAGGGGCGCCGCGGTCCGGCGCCGAGCGTGCGCGCGCGCTAGAGAGAGACAGAGAAGGGGCGAGGGCCGGCGGCGCGCGCATGCGCTGTGACGCTCGGCGGGCGCCGCGCTCGGCACCTTGGCTTCGGGCGGCGCGGCGAGGGACGTGGGAGTGAGAGGGAACGAGGCAGCGCCGGGCGGGTGAGAGTGAGTGAGAGAGACAGGGGGAAGCGGAGGGCCGGCGAGGCGCGGCGCGGGCAGAGTTCCCCTCCCCCCCCCACCGTATTATACTGGTGGAGGAAACCGGGCCTTCGCAGTGCCAGTGTTCCTACCGCGGCGAGAGCTTCGTCCGTGGCAGCTCTCCCTGAACACCCGGTGTGCGGCGAGACTGCGCGAACCCGTGTCGGCGATTCGACGCTCACCCCCCCCCCACGTCGTGCCCGTCGCGTGCGCACGCGTGTATTTTTTTCCTTTCCGTCTGTTCTGACAGTGGTCAAGCAAACACGACCTTTGGCCTCGCCTGCTGTGCATGTGCGACGTCCAGTGCGTCTTGTGAAAAAGTGCATGGGTCCTGTACATGTGCAGACTCAAACACCGTCCTGCGTCGCTTCGTCTTGAGTGCGCGTGAGCGGTCTGTAGTAGTAGTGGTGGTGGTGCGTGCGTTCCGAGTGTGTATACATTTACAATTGGCCTGTGTAAGAGCATGAAGCGCGATTAGCGTCTGGCGCCGCATCTCTCACACACAAAACGAAACCCCCCACGGATTTAACAATTGCGGCCAAGAGTCGTTTTCCTTTTGACCCGCATGCAAATAATGCTGCCGCGATGCTGAAAATTCTTCGGAGAGGCAGCGCCCGTTACTTGCTGTTCAGCGGCGTGCTGCTGACAGTTCTCGTGTGCCTGTACTATGCGAACTACAACACGGCGGCCAATTCCACGGCGACGGTAGCGTCCCGCGAGCTGGCCGGCGCGCCGGCGGCGGCGGTGGCGGCCGTGGCGGACGGGGGCGGCGGCGGCGGCGTGTCGGGGGCGGCCAAGACAGACGGCGCGGCCCGAAAGGACGGCGGGGACGGCGCGCTGGCGGCGCCTGTGGAAACGCGTGCGGCCGGGCCGGCGGGTGGTGCCGGGGACGCCGCCGCCGCGGTCCCCGAAGCCGCCGCCGCCGCGGCTGCCGAAGAGGAGTGGATGGAGCCCGACTCGGCCATCAACGAAGAGACCTGTCCCATCATGCCCGGAGCCAGCACGGACGTCGACACCGTGGAGCAGTTCAAGAAGTTCGAGTTTCAGGTAGGGTACTGACGCTGTGCCTCGTTTGCGGCGAAAGGGGATTTGTAAACAAGCCCTGTTGACGCGTAAAATTAGCAACTCACTGTTATTCAGACACGCAGGGACGTAGATCATTCTCGTATTACTGTATATGTCTTGTGACACTGTTCTCATATTGTAACGTTGACAATATACGATAATGCAGTTCTGTAAAATATTTAAATTTAATTTCGTTGGAACAACAAATAATGTGATAAAAATCATTCTGTGGATTATTCATTAATTCAGAATTTCATAAGTGGTTATACGGTAAGACACCAGAGGATCGGACTAATATTAAACGGTTTCATGGTTCGTTATGAATTATAAGATGAATCACTGTCAGAGATGTTGATCCTGGGAATCTGAACGTGTAAAATATGCTTTAGTCATTGTTTTCCTATTCAGAATAAATTGTGGTGGGCCGTGCCGATTCCCGCTGAAGTGTCGAGAAGCTAATTTGTATTACAACGTGCGTAAGAATCTGTTAATCTACATGAGCTACGCCGTTTCAATGATTACGTTTTGTGGCTGCGGACTTGAAACGTAACGCACTATCGCCTGTGTTGAGTTCCCGCTGTCCGCCAATGTTGTGAAACTTGAAACGAGTTCATTGCGTGTGAGCTTGCTCCCGACCCGGCACTACACACACATGATGTGACATCGATGCCGATGTTTTTAAAACATAGATGTATTATCGCCGATGTTTTAGCAACATCGGTGATTTGTAATAGATGTTTTCAAAACGTCGGTATTTTTGCAGAAACATTGTTTTAAACATCGATGTATTATCACGGATGTTTTTAACAGCGATGTTTTGTGATTGATGTTTTTTTGTTGTTTTTTTCCGACGTTTTGTTTCTGAATGAAAAAATATCGTGTTCACAAAACTATAAAAGTTAAAATATGAAATTATAGCTCTCGGTAACACTGTTAGTTCATGTGTTGGACCCAAAGGAATGCTGTTTGTACTACTTTCCTCGACAAAATTTTCGCCCGAGATAACATCCATGTCCTTGTATTTATTTTTACCTCATATTCATTTCGTACATCGTGATTTGGGCAACAAATACGCTGAGGGGGCGGGGGTTTGACCCTTTCTTCTGGGACTCTTATTCGACGAATTGATAAACACGAACACTATAATTAATTTTTAGTGTACACGAGTGTAATGTAATGCACACGAAGTTTTTATGTTAGAGGCTACGAATGTGGTTTTGAAACGTCGATGTTGAAAAACTTGGATAGTTTTTAGTCTCTGTATTTTTAACATCGATGTTAATTTTAAACATCGATGTTTCCTAACATCGATGTTTTGTTATTGATGTCGTCTCTAACATATACACGCATTTGCCTGCGGGTTAACGCCAAGCGTCTATATTTCCAATTTATCAAACCGCCCACGCTCTGAATTCTCATTTAGCACTGCAACGTGTTATATTGATATCGGAATTCCGAATATCTTTCGTAATTGCATGCAAGTTCAGAGTTCCTATTTTATGTAACTTGCCAGCTATGGATATATATTGGAACTAATTTGAATGTGATATGACGTTTGTATAGCGCATGCCAAAACTGCGCAAAATATCAAAATAGCGCATGCCAAAACGGAAATGCAGTATTTTCTATCGTTCACGTGTTTTTGTGTCCAAAGTTTACGTTGAAAATAAACATTAGGACATCCAACTAGCATCAGATTTGAGTACTTTCTAATGGGCCGTCGTTCTGCTTCCCTAACTTTCGTAATTATGGCATTATCTATTCTGCCGAACCTGTTTGGATCTCGCCAGATTGCGTTGTCGCCACAAACCGTGGCGTGCTGCATTTAAGACCCCTCAACGCTACCGAAGACCGAACTGAGCTAGGACGTCTTTCCAGAAAGATGAATGAATGGCAGCGTAAGCTTGAATCGTCAAGTAAAGAGAAATACCCCATAATTTTAGGGTTTCTATTAATACGAGTATGTTTTCTTATTTGGCTGTTTTTCATTCTCCGAAGTGTTCATGTCTGACTCCTTACAGCCAAGAAACCTAGTAATTTAAATTGAGAAAACAAGTAATAAAATGGATAATTTATTTGTATGTCGTAATGTATAGTTTAGGTTAAGTCTAATATAAAGCCGTCTTTCAAAATTTAGTAAATTATTTTATCCTCCCAAATATTGGTAACAAAGTAATAAATTACAATTGGCAAATCTGAAACTAAGGAAAGTAGCGTTCAGTAGAAATAAATTTTAAATAAACATACATAACGAAATTCTAATTTAATCTGTTAAGTAATGTCATGAAAGGGCTATCAAATGAAGTATTTTGTATGCCGATTAGCGAGTATTAAATGCGTTTTATAATCTAGGCAACAAATAGTGAAATGTTGGTGAGGAACACAGCGTATGTATGAGCTTTCAGAGTTGTATTACGAGGCACTTTATGCTTCTGTGCGTTTTCTGTGTCAACATTCACAGTCAAAGAGAGAGTTTGAAATTTTATTGTTTCCTGTGTGTGGTGAGCTATTACAACCACAGACTGATCCGGTAACATCGCCGCAGTGGGTGAGATCTACGCAACGAACGAGCCGGAAAGACAAACGTAAACATTACTGTCGACGAACACGTGATAATATAGTCATAGTACTGCATCGAAGCTCATAACAGTTATTAGATTTCTTTGATTTAGTATGAAACTCCCTCGGGGCACATGTGATTGAATCGCGAACAAAATAGACCCCTGTCGTGAAAATTTCATCGAAAACCTCGCCACACTTTCATAATATGTTTGAATTTATTTGTATGTCGCATTTTGTGAGAGAGATTGTGTTACCAAGCTTGTATTGTGCAAGAAAGGCGCTTGAATGGACATGTATGCGAATCGTTCATTAATTTCTTCTGTACTTCTTCCCATGATTGTTAGAAATTGATCTTGAAAGCTGAGGAAGCGAAATTTAAAAAATGCTCTTAAATAATCTAAAACTTTTTTCCCCCTTGACATTACACAAGAACCTGTTTGTTATTTAAAAATAAGTTAGGTGGTTTCCTTGATTTTTGTTCTCTCTCGGTAATATTTTTTAAGTAACTAAACGAACAACAGCTCTCTTAGAAATGAAGATATAAAAAACGCATAATCATTCATTCCGTTTCCCATTTCTTAAATATATCTTAATTATCTAATACTCTTCTCCTTGTGTATGATCTACCCCATTGTATGTACCATACTCTTAATCAATAGGAAGAAAAATTCAAAAAAATTGATTAAGACGATTTGTATCTCATGTAGTTACTATAATGCGGAACTCCAGTGTTGAAAAGAACTATCTATTAACAAAAGATAACTAAGGATTATGCTAATATAAATATATAAATTTGTATCGTATGACTACATAAAATGGCACGCATTTTGATAAAACATCTATGTTTTGGATTGGTGAAGTTTAATTTATGAATATTGTAATTATAACCTGCATTCAGACAGTGTCTCCTATTTTTTCATGTTTCGTTACAGGAGTACGTATTAGGGAAATTTACAGCTACTTGTTTGTACGTGTTATTTGTCTACAACTTAATCTAACTTCTCTTTAATAGGTCAGATATATCATATGCAGCTATTTTCTACCTTCTATTATTGTAAGAAGTCGTAGTTCTGTCTCTTTAATTTTCTTAAATTTCAAATGGCAACACACATCCATGAATTAGTCAAAGACGTCTTAATTTTTCCCACAACATGATCACTTCCTTCAGTTATGAAGACTCTTGATATTTTTATTCTGGTTAACACACACTAACTCATATGAACCTGTGACTAGAAAAAGACTTGATATAGCAGTTAGCCAGGTGATGTTAAAATGATCTCAGCTAAAGACCCGCAGTTTCTATACTATTGACTTTACTACTTACTTTACTACCATTTACTTTTTATCTTGATAAATTGTTTTGAATTTGAACTAAGTCTGTTCAAAAATCTAGGCACAAGGTAGGTTATAACTTGTTTATTATTTTGGTTAAACACTTTTTTTTATTTCAAATGTTTAGAAATTGTATTGTTTCAATCTCCATGACGTGATTGTAACATCTGTTATAATTGTTTTCAGATATGATTTTTGAAAAATATCCTAATTAGGATCGAAATGTTAAAGAAAATAAATTTTTAAAATAAAGTTTTTTAGTGTCAGTTTAGCTTCGTGAACTCAGACAGGTGGATGAGTAGAATTACAGAGGTACTTTCAGGTGTAGATTGAAAAGCGTTTCGTTTCGGAGATAAACTGTTCTTTGTATCAGCTCTTTTAGAAACCCAATAGAACTGAATGTGAAATGCATTAAACAAAATCTATGATTTCGTTTCTTCTGTCACATTTATGCACTGGCTAGGGCGTTGCGTGGCCTTGACGTAGACGCATATTAAATTCACTGTCACCACAACGCGACTGGGGCTTGAGGATTTGCGCGAGTTTGTTTTTCATGAAAGAAATTCATAATTTTTTCGATTAAATTCAGTTTAAATTAAAACCGATACGAAGCGCTCTAGTAGCTTCGGGTTGAGCAATACCGATCTCTGCATGCATGCAATTATAGACAATTATCTTGAATTGTATAACTGAAAGTTCGCTAGCCTAAACCACGTTGTATTGTAGATCATCGGATTGTATAAAAAAGGGGATGTAATAGGACTTGTGAAACACTTGGCTGGCGCTCCCGTAAAAGCATACAAATTTTGGTATAAACTGCGAATGATCTTGGCTATTAGCGTGTCTCTCTGCTCGAATCCTAGATACATTAGAAGATAAATTATTAGGTGCATTCTGTTACAAGTGTTCGCAGACCTGGGTACATGTACCCGTAGGAATACGCGACAGGCTTCTAAAAACGATTATGAGAAACTTCCATTGGAATATTGAGGAAGAAATTACATTATTTAAATGAAAGTTAATGTTTTCTTCCAATTTCTTGGATTATTATTGACTAAGTAAATGTAAAATATTTACTTCAATAAATA